AGGTAATCCATTTTCATGCAGTGCCGTGGATATGCAGCGAACGTCCAACTCCAACATTTCACTGGAGCAGATTATCCTGGCTCTGGAGAATAAACTGTGCATCAACGATCTTTTGTATTGTATTAGACAGAAACTTCTAAAATTAAGAGTTTTTATTATTACTAATCACATTCAATTAGTTCTAGGTGTGATAGCTATATGCGGCCTTTTCACCAGGCAAATAAACTCAGCTCCATGCGGATTAGTTGAATTACAGGACAATTGAGTGAATGCTTTCGATATAGTTCGCTTCTAATGAATTATGTTTTATTAATACCCTTGCTCCCGTAAGAGATTTACATGGTTTCACAGGTGGATGTGAATTACAAATTATCGGTAGCATCACCCGTGATCCCAGGCAAGTGAAAAACTGATTGCCTAAATTGATTTCTTCCATGCGTATTCACTCGTTTTGACGTGTTTGTACAGCAATTAGCCTATAAGTTTGTCTTAATGATTTTAAGAGCACCATTTGCAATGATCGAGCCCGGAGGCCAGTGATACTATTTTCAGTGCAATTGAAGGTGATATTGCGAACACCGAACACAATTTCATCTCGGAAGTTTTCAACTCTCAATCGATCGAAGGTGGAGTTTGAACGCTGACCATAACTGAAGTGGCTGCTATTCACTTGTTCGATCCGAATCTATTGGATCCGTGAAAGGAGCGCTACAAAACAAAAAAGCACTCGATTCAGCAGAATAACGGTCACATCAACTGAAAAATTAATCACACATCCCAGAATCTAGGCTTGCCGTCTTCCTCGCAGTCTCAGATACAACATGAAATCTACCCAACGGTTATGATACTGTGAGCATTTCTGTAGTAATTGTGGTATGTACTGGTCACGAAATACGAATCACCAGTTAGAAATCACGGACGGGACGTAAGCACTGAATCGCACTGGTACTTGCACGACAGTATCCACTGCAACCGAGACGTGAGGAAAAGGTCACAGGAATAGCAGTTCGCTTATCGAAAGAAATCAAAGAGGGGGGGGNAAATGAGATGTACAAAACAAGTTCATTGGTCATCCAAGCTTCTGTCAATCGCGTGCTAGTATTTCTGGCATTGTACAGCTTCTGTCTGGGCCGCACGGTTTCTGATTGGTTGGTACAATGGGCCTATAGTTTGTAATTCAGAAGCTGTGACACGCAGAGACTTTGCTGATGTCACCCGGGAAGTTGGATTGATCACAGTTGTCCGAAAACTGTAAGATGTCGCTCCGTGGTATGCGTAATATCTTAGGCTAGAATCACAATTTCTCTCTAGGAGATTTGTACGACCATGATCATGGATAGTCGTGAATAGCCACCTCGGCTGGTGATGGAACTTTTGCAAACAAATTGCCAAGCTCGGCGAACAGGCGAAATAGAATTCAGTTCATCCGAGCTACGAGAACCGATTTTCAGTACTTTGTCAATAGTCGAAAGCATTTGTCTGCTCTGTGAAATGGTTAGACAATACTGTTGTGGGGATATTAGAACTTTCGCGATCTTCTTTTTGTTTTTGATCAGGAGTGAAAGTGTTTTGGCTAAGACATGCTGTTTGTTTATGAACTTATATAGAAAAATTCGCATTCCGTTTGATAGGACAGCTATTTTAGCACTATCTAATGTACAGAAACTTGGAAGCCAGCCTTTATTTATTCACGAGAAGGAACATACACATACGATTCTGACACCCAAAAGCTGATTATGAAACATGCATTTCCTTCACTCTTTTTCGGCAGTGAAAATCAAGCCAAATTTGTCCAACAACGAGTCACCGAAGTTGAAACGTTTTTTGGTGATTTGTGCGCTGAACTGGTCAGCTACACGCGACGCACTGCCAAATTGCGCAACAATGGTAAGTACATATCTTAGTCCGCAAGTATCGCATCGAACTTTTCCGTCTGTTTCTGTATCATTCCATTGTGTGAGGTGATTTTGTAGGCGATGAAATTGCTCGGATTTTGCTGGACTATTCTGTCAAGGAGAAAATCAATCGATCGTCTTCTGCTCAACTAAAGAAAGTGGCAGAATATCTAGCCACTTTGGAAGACTACCGGCACACAGAAGTGAGTGTTTACAAATCAAAACGTATCAGTGACAATATTTACGTCTGATAGGTTGATCGCCTTGTAGGAAAAGTGGTCAACCCACTGGCAAGTTATGGAGAGGAAATAAAAAAGATAAGGGTAATTCTGATTGACTCTGTTGTTTTTCAGAACCAAAAACCCGAACAATTATGCATCTAATAAGTACGGTTTTCTTTTCTTCAACAGACAAATTTGAAATCCGAGAACGCAGCACGAAAGCGCGAACTGAATAATCGAAAAAAACTGGAACGATCAAGCACGGCAGAGGCTTCTCGTTTGGTAAGTAAATCATTTAGTTGTAAGCGAAAAGAAGTAAACCTTCGAATATAGCAAAATCGGTGCTTATTTTGGTCATCAGATGAATATTTAGTGCAGCTATATGCTCACACAAACACACGGATCATTTGGTGCAAGAGAGAGAACTAGTTGATGGGACCAGGTTTCTATGTGAACAAGTTAGACTATTCTGATTGGTAAATCGGTTGAGAACAATGTAACCCGCAACAATAGTGGTTTTGTTCATTCACAAAATCTACTGTGTTATTCTCCCGCATGTCTTTCACGCGTGATTCATAATGGCGATCTTTTTTTCGTTCCATTTTACAACTAATCTGTCGCTGTCCGTTCATGAGTGATGCAGATTCTCGGGACCGACTACTGTTGCAACTTGTCCACGTGAAGGGAAGACGTAGTGCTGATGTGCCGTAGTATTGACACAGTATTTGGAAAATGTTGTACCTTCCAATTTATCTCTGAATCTTGTCCCACAAACCTTTTTCAAACTATGTTAAATCAAAAGACAATTGCCAAACATGACGAGCAATTCTTGAACTTGCCACAAAAATTGTGTCCAATTACGGAAAAAGTATGCTCCATGTGTAAGCTGGTGTGCAGCTTAGATTTATTCGGAATGGAAAATATGAGAGCACCGACAGAGAGAATCGACAAATCAGATTGGTATTCACAAATCCACTAACATCGAGAAAACACCGGTAACTTCCAACGGCAGCGATTGGCCCTAATCCATTTTCCATTGATTCCGTGGGAATTATCATGGAAACTTAGGCTATCTCTGAGAGAACTACTTTGATAAGCGTATCGTTATGATGTCGAGTTTGTACAACAAAAGAATTGAAACAAAAGTTACTATGTAACTGTAATATGAACACGCCCTTCTTTACATCTTATCCCAGCGGAGGTGAAAGAAATGCACAACACAGTGCCCCTCCCCCCCCACCGAGATCGTAGTCCCGGTGACGTGAGATGATATTGGGTTAAAATAAACGACGAGATCTCATGGGAACGCGAGAAATCATCAAAGCAATAGCCTGCCGTGGATACGGGCTTGCCATAAATCTACGAGGGCAAAGAACCAAATGCCGTAAACGAAAAGGTCCTATGCGATATAAACACTTCTAAATCCGAATGATGCATGTCGCCAAGGCATAGTTGGTCACCTATCACGTTGTATCATTGGTGCTCAATTGATTTGGTAACTAGTCAAAATTTCTCAGATATGAGGCTCGAATCGCATGGTCTTCTTGGATCAAAAACATTAAAAGTTGATTTCACCCTTGGTCTACTTTTCTACATAAAGCGATTTGTTGAGATATTCGAGTTATTCCAGTGTAGTATAGGTTCATGCAAATCGAGTCAAGGGATTCAACTCATATTATTCAGAAACAATGCACAGCTTTCTTGTTCTCCGTTAGACTTGTTTCGTGTGTATATCTATTGAATTAAGAGGAATTTGAACCCAGGTACGTGATTCAATAACACTATCCTACAGTGTATCATACAACACCCACCCATCAATATTCTAGGACACTTCGGACCGCACCAGAAACCAAGTGACTCCCTGTTGCGTGGTCCGTAAAAACGTTTATGGACGTATTTTACAGTGTTTCGTCTAATTTGATCACAAGACCTTGACACAGCGAAAGTTACCGCATCGTGGAGCAGTTTTATAGGCGTGGTTTTATATTAACTAAGATTGGCATTTTAGTTTCAGTTTATGCCTGGTTCATCGAATACAATACATGACCCTCGATGTTCGGTCTACATTGTGCGACGTTATATGTTACATTTAGTTCCGCTGATCAGTTATAACTGTAAGCAGCCGGTCATCACGCTACTATTTATTTTTATCTTTTTATTGATGGCAATGGTTTCTTCAGCTCCTTTGAAGCGTAGGAGGTGGAAGAAGGCAGCTGCACTGTTCACACATTGCTTGTAGACCTACTATAGCTTCTAATTTTCTTTTAGGGCATCATAACTGTATTTCAAATGAGTTGTCTTTCTACTACTACAGGTAGATAATCATAGAGCGGCAGTAATCTGACGAAGTGGATGTGAATAAAATCGTTTTTAGCGACCAATGCTGTTTAAACAAGATAGATTTATTTGAATCCAAACATGATCTGGATGTAATTTTGTTCTTCGTTATAAATGTACGTGTTTCAGAGTGCTGGCTTAATAAGACATTACTACACCCAGAGAAAAGTCTATTGTTATTGCCTTTAGTGAAGCCTTTTCTATTGATGCCATCACTTTGCTGGGAAGCTCGATTCGTTTTTCGTCCTTCTGAGGCACCTTGAAATGGTTACCCTCCGCAGAACTCAGACCTACCAGCTTACACAAATCTGCCTAAGACAAGGTGTGCGAACGTCCTTCAAGATAACGTGATCACGGATCTCACTTGCTCGTTTAGAGATAATGCGTATTGGACACACTAAACAGGCGAACTGCTTCTCAGGAAACTAATTGACAACTTGTAGTCTACGCGCTGCTTTACTGGTATACCTTGTGTTAACCGAAGGCTCTGCGTGTGAATCCCCCCGAAAACACCCGATTTGACACTGGCAACATTCACAACCATAACATAAACGGATTTAAATACTATCATGGTACTTATGTCCGGTGAACCAGACGTGAATAAATCTCAAATGCAAAATGCTGGTGACAAGCATTCATTACCGCGGGTTGCATATACGCAATATGTGCTCAATACATGACTCTGAAACTCGTTCTTCCGAAAATCACCCTGAACAGATGAACTACCTACTGAGCGCAATCGGACTTCAGTCAAAGTTTTATTAAACCCCAGAGATCATCACTTGTGGCAGCTTGCTTCTTCTAAGTCTGAATTATCATTCGCTCAGTGATCACTTGCGGATAGAACAGACAGGAGAAACGGAGAAAACCTTGGGCGGTTATCATTTCTTCCCATGCATGTTTCATAACAGCTTACGTAAAGAATCAGTATTTTTACACCAGATCATCTAATAGTCCCTTAACTTTAATCACGATGCAAATGTCGTGTATTGAAAGAATATTGTGCACAGGGACAACTTACCAGTTGACTTAAAATGACTGCTCACGCCAACCGTCACGGTAAAAAAAATGAGTTTTGATTTCACTGAGAAATGGGAAATGGAGTTTACTTGTTAAACGTGTCACACAGAGTACAGGTAAATTTCCGCACAACTTCTCAGAACATGTAGAGGAATGGCAGCCACATAGCATAGTCAGCGTAGTGAAAATATTTGCGGTAACAAAAAGGACTATCTGAAATGGTTTTGAAGTTGGAGGTTGTGTAAGCAGGAAGACAGTTCAACTTATTGGAGCACTCCAAAGTACGTAATTCAGAGTTTGTCGTATTTCAGCTGAATAGTTAAATAGCCAAATCAAGGAGTGTTTAGAGCTTGCAAAAGATGCG